TATATATATATATATATATATATATATATATATATATATATATATATACATATATATATATATATATATATATATATATATATATATATATAAATATATGTGTATATATATATATATATATATATATAAATATATGTATATATATATATATATATGTATATATATATATATATGTATATATATATATATATATGTATATATATATATATATATATATATATATATATATATATATATATATATATATTTATATTTATATTTTATTGTATAATTATGTTTTAAGGTTGCCGCCATGATACCAGATATTTTAATGCAGCGTATTGAAAAATTACGAAACCAAAATATTAATATTCATAAAAAATTTGAAAAAGAACGGAAGCGAGTTCAAAAGCAAACAGATCATTTACAAAATCATAGACAAACATATTATGAGGGTTTTTCAGATAAAAGTTTAGATAATCCTCCGTCATTTCGTGATGAAAATCCCTCCTCATTTCGTGATGCTCAACAATTAAAAACAAGACCATTACAAATAAAAAGAATCCAAAAAGCTGAGCAAAGGTCTTCTGAGTCTTGGGAGAGCATGGATGAAGATTCTTTAAAAGAAAATGATTCTCTTTTGGAAGGACAAAGGAGGTGGCATATATCTTCAAATCTCTCTCATGTTTCTAACACTACTGTTGTATTAGATCATATGAAGAGAACAAATAGTTGGTGAGTATTTTTTCAAATTAAAAATTTAATCACTTTATGATTCATGATGAGTATAGGATCTTTCAAATCAGTTTGGATAAGGAAGTTTAGTTCAGTTTGGAAAAAGTTTAGTTCAGTTTGGATGAAGGAATTTAGTTTGGTTTGGATGAGGTAGATTAGTTCAGTTTGGGTGGAATAGATTAGGTCAGTATGGATGAAGAAGCTTAGTTCATATGAGGGTATCCAACATTTGATTTAAGTTTTTTACGCTGTTTCTGCAATATTTATTACTATTTTATCGGATGCTTAAAACTCATATATTTGGGTTTGGATGAATGTGATTCAGATTCAGAATGTGATTCAGTATGTCATGTTTTTGAGTGCATCTTATATGGTTTATATATATTTTGTAGAAAAATGTGTTATATTTTATAATTTATATTGTACTTTTGTGAATTAGCATTAGTACCTTGCATAATTATTTTTAATTTATTATAATTTTATAAATTAAAAATAATTTTAATATAATTATTTTGTTTAATTTATGTTTTTTTTTAAATGTTTTTTAAATATTTTTTATACATACATTTTTTATAGTTTTTTAGTTTTACTTTTTCAACTTTTATAGTTATATATGTTAAAGTTTTAATCTTTTAGTTTTTTATTCTTATTAACTAGTTATTAATTCTATTCTAATCCAATTAATTAGTAATTAGTTTATTTTATTCTAATCTATTTTTCTTTTTTGCTCATATATATAATAGTTTAAAACTTTTTTTTTTTTCAGCTCTTATTTGGATAGCATGAAGTTACTTGAAAAACTTCCCCAAAAATTTCGTCCAAGTATTTTTATTCTTTTATGTTTTAATCACTATTTAATTTATTAAATATTTGTGCATATTATATGTGTGTATATATATATATATATATATATATATATATATATATATATATATATATATATATATATATATATATATATATATATATATATATATATATATATATATATATATATATATATATATATATATATAGAGAGAGAGAGAGAGAGAGAGAGAGAGAGAGAGAGTCTGATGAGTCTTTATTGATGAAACTCAGTGTAAAATGAAAAAAAAATTTTGTCAAGCGACTTTCTACTAATTTACATATATATGTATAATTTTTTTTTAATATATAAAATTTAAATTTTATTATTAAAAATAAAATTTTAGGGACATTTAGTATAAGTTTGCTTTAAGAATAATTATTATATTTTAAAATCAATTCATTATCAAAAAACTCAATAAAGTTATTTAATTTAAGGTAGCAAAGATTGGCACAACTAATATATGTAAAATATTCCTACAATACATTGCAAGTTCTTGCATTAAGAAAATACTTAATATCATCATTGCAGTGAGGGTTTGTCACTTACACGTCAACTAATTGTTGTTGTTTTGGCATTTGTTTCAAATGTTAGACTATAAAGTGACTGGACCAAAATCGTGTAGTGTTCCAATCGGCTCACAGCTAAGTAAATGTGAGAAATTACCTGTACCACTATTTTATAATGAAAATGTAAGAATTACACTAATGGAGCAGAATAGCAGAGTTTGAAGTGATTGACAAAATTCGTGTCCTTTAATTTATTGCAACTAAATTGTTGCAAGTGATTTGTTGCAAGTAAGAGACCCAGTAATTGAGATTAACACATTTTTGTCCAATCTTGAAAACTTGCTTTGGACTTGCTTTGGATTATATTAGAAAACATTTTGAATTTTTATCAGAAAGTTTTAAAAGTTATAATAATAAGAAGCGTAGTTTCACTTTCATTTGCTACTGACTACACACAGTACTCAATTAACTTGTTACTGACTAAATGAGATGATTAACTGGAACAATGCAATACTTTTTGTCAACACCTTGTGAGATGGTTGACTAGAGTACTACCATTAACTATTATCAGCATCTCAGAAGAATATATAATAAAGACTTTTGGTTAAAGGTCTATTTAAGAGAAACAGTGGCTGAGTAGAATTAAAAAGTTCTTCTGTCACTTCCAAGTTTCTTTTGTTACAAGAAATAATGCTTGTAACTGAACTTTAAAAAAATTGTTTCAATTTTCAGAGAATTTAAAGAACTTAAGAATTAGAGAATTAAAGAAGAACTAGACTCTTGAGTGACTTTAAGTTTTTAAGTTTTTTAAGTAAATTATTTTTTAAAGTAGCAAAGAGCTATACTACTTTAAAAACTGCAATTTTAAAATGGTTTTATAAAAATATGGTATTCATCAAAACAAAAATTGTCCAATAGCCTAATTATTGATGGAGAGCAGTTTGGTGGGTTTTTGGTACAAAATTAGCTTTTCTCAATATATGACTCCAAAGTTTACTTAGCCTCGTGGCTCGAAGCCAGAAGTCAGTATGTATATGTGTGTATATATATATGTGTGTATATATATATATATATATATATATATATATATATATATATATATATATATAATATTATATATATATATATATTATATATATTATATATATATATATATATAAATATGTTAAAAAATGTAAAAAAAAAACTTTAAAAAATCTGTCCTTTATTGCTGTTGTTGTTTTTGTTGTTATTTTTTCAAACTTTATAGATGTTATATTATATGTTGTGTAGATGTTTATATTTATAGATATTCATTATATAGATACTTTATTTTTATCTATTTTGCAATATTCTTTTCACAATTATATACCATATTTTGCTTTTAGCCTCTGCTCAAACTACATTAAGTATATCTCCACGCAAGGTCCGAGAGATTAATGATCCTATTCTTTTGATTCTTTCTCAGCTTCATAAAGTTATTTTTATATCTCAGGTATTTTTTTGTTTTAGTTTTTTTTTTTTTTTTTTTTTTAGTTTATTTTTTTTTAAGTAATTATTCTTAATTAGATGTAAATTTATGTCTAAAATATTTAAATTTGTGTTTCCAATTCTGAAACTGAGAAAACTTAGTAAAGCTTAAAAAAAAAGTTTTAACAAGTATTAACAAGGGATTAATAGAGATAGGATAATAACATCTTGAATGTGCAAAGAAAAACTAAGTGATTGATTACTAAAAAAAATTTTTGTATAACAAAAATTGCAATAAAAACTGTCTACACTATGTTTTTTGTAATACATTAAATATCCTACAAACTGGTAATTTCCCTGTACGATAGTAAAAAATCATTTTTAAGGATCATTTTTTTTTTTTTTTAATTTAATATTTAAATGTGTTCCATAACCTATCAAAGCTTAAGCAATAATAAACAGAATATTCAATTTTTTTAAATTTATTTTTAATATCTTGTTTCAGAATTTTAAAACCCATTGTTTGTAGACACATTGTTTCAAAAGACATTGTTTTAAAACATATTGTTTCAAAACACATTGTTTATTTTAAAACACATTGTTTCAAATCACATTGATTTAAAATACATTGTTTCAAAAACAGATTGTTTCAAAACACATTGTTTCAAAAACAGATTGTTTCAAAACACATTGTTTCAAAACACATTGTTTCAAAACACATTGCTTTAAAACACATTGTTTTAAAATACATTGATTTAAAATACATTATTTCAAAAACACATTGTTTCAAAACACATTGCTTTAAAACACATTGTTTCAAAACACATTGCTTTAAAACACATTGCTTTAAAACACATTGTTTTAAAACATTGTTTCATATGTTTTTGTAAATAATTGTTTAATAACTTTTATTTTAGCTCCCTCCTTCCTTACATTATGACCAGAATCGGAGAATAATTGAACAATATAAAAGGTCATTGTTCACAATGCGCAGTTCTGCAACTAATTTAAAAAATGAGATTAAAAAGGTATTGAAAAATATTTTGATATATTTTATATTGCACCCAAAATCAAAAAAATCAAAAAATAAAATGTTAAAATGTATTTATTGATAATTTTTTTAGCTAATGGAAGGTTCAAAGGAATATGTTGACTCCTCATTTTCAGTTTTGAATTCAATGTGTAGGTTTCGAAATTTTATTTTGCATTTTAGGTTTTTATGATGTATGATATTTTTCTATCTATATGTGGTGTATATACATATATGTTATATCTTCTTTTTTTTTCCTTTCTAAATATTCATTGTATACACTGAATTTTATCTTTGTTTAGCTTCTCATGAGAAAACGCATGACAATCTAACTTATGAAGATCTGCAGGTATCTTTAGTTTGTTTATCTTTGTACTACAATTAAATTAAAATATTTTCATTAATTACTAATAACAAATAAATTCAATTTTTTTTTTCTTTTTATGTTTAA